CCTTGGATAATCTCCAGAAATCAGTTTAAAGGGTAATAAAATAATTGCTGATGTAATATTTTCCCTATAATTATTACAAAAACACAAAAATAAGTATAAATAAGTATTTATATTTGTGTACAAGCTGTTTAGATTGTCAAACAGCCTGTGTTTTTAGGGTTATTAATGAAGTCCGTGTACACAGACCAGTAATATTTGGGGTCACATGTTTTTGCCATGGATATTTTGTGGGTCAGAAGATAAAAAGTTTGGGAACCACTGGCCTAGAGCTGTAGGCTAAATACTAAGGTCACAGCGCCCCCTTCAGGTAGTTAAGATAAAAAACAGAATGTTCAGGTAGGCTAAACAAAATAAAATTTCCAGATTCTTCATCACATCTCATTCCAAATAAATAATGTTTGGGGAGTTTTGAGTTTACAGTGAAGAGTTGTGTTGTTTATTGTGTGTAACTTTTTGATTGCACTTCTTTTACCTGTTGGCGCAGTGTGGGCAAGTCCTGCGGCTCGCGCCAACTCGCTCCGCAGGTTTATCCCGGTGAGTCACTCCCCCCCTGAAGTCAAAACAGCATCGGCTCGCGTTCTCACCTGTGTGAGCTCCACGAGCCTCCTCACTCCCGACACCATGAGCAAGTCCGGCTCGCTCAAAGTCAGGAACCCGTTCAAAACAAAGTCCCCCGAGAAGGAGAACAACAAGGAGCTGAGGCGCGCGACGTCGCTCAAAGATGCGTCGGCGACCATCCACCGCGACGACCCGGGCACCCTGCCGACGTCCCCGGGCTTCTTCAGCCGCGGAGACAGCGCCACATTGCCCGGCAACGTGTTGCCCATTTCCCCGAAGAAGGGGAAGAGAAAACTGTCTCTCGGGTGGAAAAAGAAGAAGCACAAGAGCGAAGGCGGAGGAGGTGGAGGAGACGTCTTCTTTCCGGACACGAATGAACAGGAAAACTTCAACAACCACATGTAAGCTGATATGAAATTAATTACTTTTTATAATGAGCATTTTTTTAAATTGATATTCAGTTCACTTCAAAACCAGGTAAAGTTTATTTCGAGCATTCAAAACAAACTAAAATGTCTTAAAGTCAATAATCATTACAATGTGCACAAATCCAATAAACCTAACATAACATTAAAAAAAAAGATCAGTTTTCTTAATACATTACAGTATGTGTTGCTTATTATATATATTATATGCATTTTTACATGTACATCATCATCATAAATTTAAATGAAGTGAAGTCATAAAACATTGGAAAGTTCCTTGAAGGCTCCTGGCAGTCCTTCCAGACCTGCTGGGAGTTCAGGGATCCATTTTAAACGGTGTAAAGAAGTATGAAAGCACACATCTCACCCAATGTCTGTTTTCCCCTCTGGCACTTTATGCATTTGAATGTTCTACCTTTTGAGTGGAGCTAGTTTAGTCACGCAATTTGTTTGCAAGGCCCGATGACTTAAAAACAGAGAGAAAAGTAAGAACCTGCTTCATTCCGCATCATTTGTCATTTTTTAAAAGTTGTTTGGTGAACAGATTTTTCATATTAGGTGCTCTTTGATACGGTACCTTTCGACACTTATTCTGTGTCCATTTCCTATATATGTATCCATCCATCCATTGTCTGTACCTGTTGAGTGAGGAGCGGGGTACATCCTGGACACGTCCATCACAAGTTTAGACAACAGTTTAGAGTTATCAGTTAGGATAACATGCTTAATTTTAGGGAGAAAATCAGAGTAATTGAAGAAAACCTATTCATGCACAGGGTAAACAAGCAAAATACACACAAAGGCCACAACTTTATTAAAAAAAAAAACAATAAGGACTTGGAGGTAGTTGATGAGAGAGGATGCAGAGGAMGGCGGAGGAGGATGACTTGTGGTGACCACTGAAGGGAACAGCTGAAAGAAAATGTATGAAACTTTAGTAAAYACTAGGGCTGCCACAAACGATTATTTTTATAATCGATTAATCACCGATTATTTTTTTGATTAGTCGACTAATCGGATCATACGTTAATTGAATATAAAACATACAGCTTATCGCGTAAGAATGCAGCTGCTATTATATAACCATGGTTAGATTTTAGCTATATGCTAACTAAATATAMTTKCTATGGAAGGCAAGTTCTGCCTTGCAGATATTGCACAGGTTTCTGTTTCATTTTCTTAAAAAGTTCCCACACTTTTGAGCTCCGTTGCCAGATAGCCATGATACCAGAGCCTGTCTGTATAATGTGATGTCCACAGCCTACCCCAGTTACCACTACTGCACATGTGTGTCAAGGACAGAAAGGYAGATGTGGCAGTGGAAGGTGTCAAAGCAGTTTGGAGAGAAACACAAAGTAAAGAACAAAAAAAAGAAAAAGATTAATCGATATTAAATTAGTCCGATGATTTTAATAATCGATTAGTCGTCGACTAATCGACTTATCGTGGCAGCCCTAGTAAACACTATTAAGGGTAGCAAACTATTACTTTYTTTCAATTTGTCAAGCAGACAGCACACTTGAATGCATTTGTTTTTACAAAAACATCAGTGAAATTCAGTCTGTTTACCTTTACAAAGCCAACCCTTAAGGGTAGAAAACATTCAGGAGTTTGCACAGACATCATTCTGAGAACGATTCTAACTGAAAAACAAAATTAAAAATAAAAAAAGTCTAGAAAAAACAGTTCGCTTCACTAAAAGAGTAAAACTGAAGTGTGAAGACAGCTGAGGCAGAACCACTTCTCTGTGGTATGAATCACAAGTGTTGGTGAGCACCTTCCAGAAGCCCAAAATGTTTGCTTTACTTTATCTTTGTTACTTCGTCTTTGATTTTATTTTATTTTTTACATTTACTTCACATGAAATGCTTAAACTTCCTTGTAATTTGTCCAGCAGAGACTCAGTCAAAACGTCACGTGGATTACATTGTTTGTGAATAACACGAGCTGCAAGTTTCACTTTGACTTCACCCAGGATCTTCTGCTGTTACAGTTTGTTTTTCTAGACTAACTGTCAAAATCTGTTCTGTGGAGCGAGTGATCAAAGTGAGAAGTAACTTGCAAGAACCAATGGATTKCCCCACGTTAAAGGTGATCCGAATGGGATTTTATTTTCATTCAGTATCGGCAGAGTTGTGTGGTTTTTGTTAAGTTAAACTGCATTAAAGCAGCAACTTCTTAACACGGAAAAGAAAACCTGCTGTACAGGATGGGACACATTTTCCTATTCAGTCCAGTTATATCAACTGTAGAGATTAAAAATAATTACATATCTCAGCRTATGATGAGTAAATGGTTGCGTAACAATTTCTGCAGGCTCAAATGWCACTGTGAAATACATGGTGGTCAAATTGTAACTGATAAGACTGCTCAAGTGTAGAAAATCTGCTTCAAGAATGTTTGTTTAGTTCATCTGGCAGCAGTTTAAAATCAGCAGGTTTAACATGAACTTAGGCAAACTTACACATGTGCAGCGGAGCAGGGAAACATATTTGGTTTAATCTCTAATAATAGTGAGCAAATTGAACAGCTTTAGTGGTGTCAGGTATCCTGAGGAGAGGAAACGTACAGTATTTAAGACTTATTGTTCCAGAGTTTTGCTGGGACAATGTGTTAAAAGATTTTTAAGATGCGCAAACAATTTCAAGGTTTAACAGAAAAGGCCAACACAGTGTCCCAAAGGGATTTATTGTATCAGGATAAGTCCGCSTCGCGCTTTGGTAAAGTTTTGGGTGGGTGAGCTCACAGCTGAAGGTGAAGCTGTGGAAGCCGAACACCAAATTAAAGCCAGATGTTTTCCGCAAACGTCCAGGGGCGTGAAAACAATAGAAATAAAAACTCATTTTACGCAGTCATTGACACGAGGCTTGCTGATTCAGGTGAATTTTAAAGAATGTGACTCACAGCTATGACTAAGCTTACTTGGAAGTTTTAGTCGTCATTGTCGTTACACATTTGCGTCCTCTTTGTCGGAACTATTTTAAGGCTCATTGTGTTTTCTCTCGCACAATCGTTTCCACCACAGTCTGTTTTTCATGAACCCTATGATCCTGTCAAGTCAGTTAAATTTGTAAAATGCTAGATGGCAAATTTAAATTTTGCTTTGGGGGAGTTTTGTCTGTCATTAGGGCGATAAATCATCAACTGCTCATCTAGAGTTGACAAACAAGCTTCAGACGATCTCAGATGGGAAATCTTGTCCAGTAATCCCATCTTAAATCCGTTTTTTAAAAACCTTCCTGCAAATGTCAGATTTGTCTGGATGAATTAAGTCAGTAATTTTACCATTTGTTCTAGGCATCAATTTTTAAAACCTCCACAGGCTTTAAACTCTGTTTATACTTGTGTGCTTTCTGTTTTAAACAATGAGTATTTTGTCCAAAGTTTAAAAAAAAAAAAGTTATTTTGATTGATTGGCCAAATTCAATATAGAAACTTTTCTTTTCTTTTTGAATCAGCTTTTCTTACTGCTACTACAAGCACAACAACCAGAGCTGTATTAAAGTGCTGTACAGGTAAAATCAAAAACATTAAAATACACAAAACAAAGATTAAAAATAATAAAACAGGAGTAAAACAAACTAAAACAAGTCTCAGGCTGTGCCAAAAGCCAGGGAATAGAGATTTGCTTTTAAGAGAGTTTTAAAAGTGGACAGAGAATGGGCTACATGATGATAAGAGTGCTATCATGAGTGTGGAGATACMAGATCTGCAAACACTGAAGCCACAAAAGGTCGGATTTAAAGGCTCAGACCATTTTTGAATTGTTTGTGTGCATAACGTGGACACAACCTGAGCCTTTTTTCATGACTGTATATACACACCTGTTCACACCTGGTGATTCATATGCAAACATGAATGTATGAGTCCAGAGAGGGTGACAATATAGGGGGCTGCCTTTTTTCACCTGCAAGCAAACAACCAAAACAAAACGTTCAGATTCACTGTGTCATCTGCGCCATCTTACTTTATTCTTTATTATAAACTACCACCCGTTTTGTCCTTCGAGTGGCTGCAGACGAGGGGAGCAGTTTGGTATTCTGCGGTAACAAACAGGACTTTACACTTTTCGGCCTGAATCAGTCAAGTTTTCGCAGATACTCACGCCTCAGCAGATCCACAGTGTCTTTCAGTTGAACGAGCTCCAGCTCATCCTCAACCTGCTCTTTCCTGCTCGTTTTTTTGGCAGGAATTCACACAGTCCACAACGTTCTGACAGAGGCAAAGCTCACAGCTGTTACTTGAACGGTTAAAAACCTGCAGGCACCTTCGGCAGATATTAGCTCATGCCTTCAAAAGGTCACGTGACTTTGGTTTTGGTCCCGAGTTTAACCGGCCTGCTGTTTACCTTTTAAGTGTGATTGGATTGTATTGAACATTTCTTTGTTGTAAGGTGAGGTAACACTGAGATAAGTTTTGACAACACAAAGATACAGGGAATGTGTACTTTTTTGCACCACGTACCTATTTGAAAGGAATGTGCCACAAAAAAAAGTTGTGAGAAAACAAATCAATCCACTCAAATGTAAAGCTTGTCACTTCAGGGAGCAACTTGTGAAATCTGGTTTCGTATGAAATGTGTTAAGTTTTTTTTTACCTTGACTGGGGTTAAAGGCACAGTGTGTAGGATTTTGTCAAGTCTTTTAGCTGAAATTGAGATAATCACTAATGACAATAATAAAAAACATGTCTAATCATTGCAGACAAAGACCTTGTTTTATTATTTTTACCTTTATAAAAAGCTGTTTATATCTCCATGGTCGTGGGTCACCAGCAGCTGCCATCTTCCACCGCCATCTTGTCTATGAAGGCTCATGAAGGACAAACTGCGGTGGCGGCGTCAAAAATGGTTTTATTTGAAAT